GGTTCATTCTCGCGTTACGCATCACGTTTGAGCATCCGCTTGAACCAATGAGATTCATTCTTGTGTTACGCAGCACGTTTGAGCTTTAGCAAGAACCAATGAGGTTCATTCTCGCGTTACGCATCACGTTTGAGTTTCAGCAAGAGCCAATGAGGTTCATTCTTGTGTAACGCAGCACATTTGAGCTTCAGCAAGAGCCAATGGGGTTCATTCTCGTGTTACACAGCACGTTTGAGCTTCAGCAAGAACCAATGAGGTTCATTCTCATGTAACGCAGCACGTTTGAGCTTCAGCAAGAACCAATGAGGTTCATTCTCACGTTACGCATCACGTTTGAGTTTCAGCAAGAGCCAATGAGGTTCATTCTCATGTAACGCAGCACATTTGAGCTTCAGCAAGAGCCAATGAGGTTCATTCTCATATAACGCAGCACATTTGAGCTTCAGCAAGAGCCAATGGGGTTCATTCTTGTGTTACGCAGCACGTTTGAGCTTCAGCAAGAACCAATGAGGTTCATTCTCGCGTTACGCATCACGTTTGAGCATCCGCTTGAACCAATGAGATTCATTCTTGTGTTACGCAGCACGTTTGAGCTTTAGCAAGAACCAATGAGGTTCATTCTCGCGTTACGCATCACGTTTGAGTTTCAGCAAGAGCCAATGAGGTTCATTCTTGTGTAACGCAGCACATTTGAGCTTCAGCAAGAGCCAATGGGGTTCATTCTCGTGTTACACAGCACGTTTGAGCTTCAGCAAGAACCAATGAGGTTCATTCTCATGTGACGCAGCACATTTGAGCTTCAGCAAGAGCCAATGGGGTTCATTCTCGTGTTACACAGCACGTTTGAGCTTCAGCAAGAACCAATGAGGTTCATTCTCGCGTTACGCATCACGTTTGAGCATCCGCTTGAACCAATGAGATTCATTCTTGTGTTACGCAGCACGTTTGAGCTTTAGCAAGAACCAATGAGGTTCATTCTCGCGTTACGCATCACGTTTGAGTTTCAGCAAGAGCCAATGAGGTTCATTCTTGTGTTACACAGCACGTTTGAGCTTCAGCAAGAGCCAATGGGGTTCATTCTCGTGTTACGCAGCACGTTTGAGCTTCAGCAAGAACCAATGAGGTTCATTCTCGCGTTACGCATCACGTTTGAGCATCCGCTTGAACCAATGAGATTCATTCTTGTGTTACGCAGCACGTTTGAGCTTCAGCAAGAGCCAATGAGGTTCATTCTCGCGTTACGCATCACGTTTGGGTTTCAGCAAGAGCCAATGAGGTTCATTCTCGCGTTACGCATCACGTTTGGGTTTCAGCAAGAGCCAATGAGGTTCATTCTCATGTAACGCAGCACATTTGAGCTTCAGCAAGAGCCAATGAGGTTCATTCTTGTGTTACGCAGCACGTTTGAGCTTCAGCAAGAACCAATGAGGTTCATTCTCGCGTTACGCATCACGTTTGGGTTTCAGCAAGAGCCAATGAGGTTCATTCTCGCGTTACGCATCACGTTTGGGTTTCAGCAAGAGCCAATGAGGTTCATTCTCATGTAACGCAGCACATTTGAGCTTCAGCAAGAGCCAATGAGGTTCATTCTCGCGTTACGCATCACGTTTGGGTTTCAGCAAGAGCCAATGAGGTTCATTCTCATGTAACGCAGCACATTTGAGCTTCAGCAAGAGCCAATGAGGTTCATTCTCGCGTTACGCATCACGTTTGGGTTTCAGCAAGAGCCAATGAGGTTCATTCTCATGTAACGCAGCACATTTGAGCTTCAGCAAGAGCCAATGAGGTTCATTCTCGCGTTACGCATCACGTTTGGGTTTCAGCAAGAGCCAATGAGGTTCATTCTCATGTAACGCAGCACATTTGAGCTTCAGCAAGAGCCAATGGGGTTCATTCTTGTGTTACGCAGCACGTTTGAGCTTCAGCAAGAACCAATGGGGTTCATTCTCGTGTTACGCAGCACTTTTGAGCTTCAGCAAGAACCAATGAGGTTCATTCTCGCGTTACGCATCACGTTTGCGCATTCGCTTGAACCAATGAGATTCATTCTTGTGTTACGCAGCACGTTTGAGCTTTAGCAAGAACCAATGAGGTTCATTCTCGCGTTACGCATCACGTTTGAGTTTCAGCAAGAGCCAATGAGGTTCATTCTTGTGTAACGCAGCACATTTGAGCTTCAGCAAGAGCCAATGGGGTTCATTCTCGTGTTACACAGCACGTTTGAGCTTCAGCAAGAACCAATGAGGTTCATTCTCGCGTTACGCATCACGTTTGAGCATCCGCTTGAACCAATGAGATTAATTCTTGTGTTACGCAGCACGTTTGAGCTTTAGCAAGAACCAATGAGGTTCATTCTCGCGTTACGCATCACGTTTGAGTTTCAGCAAGAGCCAATGAGGTTCATTCTTGTGTTACACAGCACGTTTGAGCTTCAGCAAGAGCCAATGGGGTTCATTCTCGTGTTACGCAGCACGTTTGAGCTTCAGCAAGAACCAATGAGGTTCATTCTCGTGTTACACAGCACGTTTGAGCTTCAGCAAGAGCCAATGAGGTTCATTCTCATGTAACGCAGCACGTTCGAGCTTCAGCAAGAACCAATGAGGTTCATTCTCACGTTACGCATCACGTTTGAGTTTCAGCAAGAGCCAATGAGGTTCATTCTCATGTAACGCAGCACATTTGAGCTTCAGCAAGAGCCAATGGGGTTCATTATGCAGCACGTTTGAGCTTCAGCAAGAACCAATGAGGTTCATTCTCGTGTTACGCAGCACGTTTGAGCTTCAGCAAGAGCCAATGAGGTTCATTCTCGTGTTACGCAGCACGTTTGAGCTTCAGCAAGAGCCAATTAGGTTCATTCTCGTGTTACGCAGCACGTTTGAGCTTCAGCAAGAGCCAATGAGGTTCATTCTCGTGTTACGCAGCACGTTTGAGCTTCAGCAAGAGCCAATGAGGTTCATTTTCATGTAACGCAGCACGTTTGAGCTTCTGCAAGAACCAATTAGGTTTGTTCTTGTCAAACAGGTTTCTGTTTATGATTGTCGATCAATGTTTATATGTGAATAAAGCCTAAATTCAATCGGTTCATCATATAAAGCAATCGTATCTAAATATTTTGACTAAATCGCTCAGTTCATATGGATTAGAAGCGTCAAAGTGTTAGTTGCATGGACTGTCAATGGAGGGACATAAATCTCTCTGATTTGATTAAAAATGTCTTCATTAGCGTTTCGAAGATGAACGAAAGTGTTACGGTTTGTAATGACTTGATGGTGAGTAAATGATGACAGAATTTTCATGTTTGGGTGAACTACAGTAACCCTTTATGGTTCCCCATCTTCCCCTGTATCTTGTGGATGTGGACAACAAAGTTGCGTGAGCATATAGTGCGATCAGATGTTCAGAACACAGCATAGGCTCGCCATGAAGCCTTTTCTTTCATAGTGTGTGAAAGATGAAGCATTTGCTGCAGATATGCTGATGATTCACCACTAAGTGTTGATAATGTTATTCCTCCATCTTCCTCCATCCCCTCCCCCTTCACTGCCTCTCAGAGCTCAGTTCAGTGTTGTGTGTAGGTGTTCATGTGTGGGTGAGCCCATATTCATTTCATGTTTGCATTTCAGCTTTTTCACTGGCAGGTACAAAGAAGCCTAATTGTGAAATAATTAATAGTGTTTGGTCATGTTACACTAATTGATAGAAATGTAAGCCCCAAAACATATTTGCTTGTTGTAACACATTGTTTTAAAAAAAAAACCTCCGTTAAAGACGTTCTCATACACTACAGTAAATTTGTGAAATGTTGTTAAATCTAAAGACACAAATTATTCCTATTTTTTTAATTTTCCCAAATGCTCTAAACATAGTACACATAGCCTACTGTAAATTCTCCATTGATTGATCAGGAAGCATTACATAAGTTCTTTCGAATCACAGATTGAAAGCTCTTCTAAGAAACCGCTGTTTATAAAAATGGATAATGAAACAGGCTCCTCTCTGTTCCTGTGGCAGATATGAAGGATTTGTTGATTCAAATCATGATGTATATAATAGTACGGACGTGGTGCAGTTCTTGAGGCTACAGAAAGATTCACAACCTTGAATTTTCACACCATTTACACCCCCGAGCAATGCTTTCATCCACTCACCCACTCACTCGCTCCATGGCTCGCTCTCTTTCTGACGCTCGCTTTTTCCTCTTGCCTCTTCCATACTGTAATTATTATTCTCTTATTCAAATGTATCCTAGAGCTCATGACTTTAAGTTCCTCCTGAATATTAACAATGGTCTTAGTGCTCACAGATATTTTTGTCAAATGTATTTATCACTGTGACATTTCTGGGAAGTGCACATACTGCTAAAACAGCTCTCACCAATGTTCCCACCGCATGCCATAGTTGGTGCCCACTTCCCATTTCTTTTGTCAGGTTGTTCACACCTACTTCATTAACATAATGCATTTGGTGAGGCATTTTCACAGCATTTACTAATTTAGTGTTTAATTCATGTTGCAATACATGCATGTTAATGAATGCCAATTATACCTAATGACGAACCTTATTGAAAAGTCTTATTCATTAAATCAAATTTTGTTTATATATATATTAATATGGTAGCACTTTATTTTACAGGTCTGTTCCGTGTGTACATATATGTACTTATAATTAAAATAACTGGGCAATAACTAGTAACCCTGAACCCCTAAACCTAACCTTGACCTAGTACTTTTTTTGGGGTACTTTAACCCCATTTTTACATCTGAACTGCTATTATCACTGTAGAGAATCACAACATTTGATACTGTAAATAAATAAATAAATCACCTTGAAGGGTTTTATGATTTAAGGGCAAATCAAGCATGCAGTTTTGACAAACGTAATGTTAGATGTGAAAACTATTGCATAAATTATGTCATTTATTTCTGTGTAATTTTTTTTATATTTAGGACACATTTAACTGTTTTGATGAAGCCTTATTTCCCCTTTTCTTTTTTCCTCAGGATTCTGGCCACTGCTGGCTCTCATATGAATATTCCTGTGGATCTGAGAACCCTTAGGGCTGTGCGTGTGTTAAGACCCCTCAAACTAGTTTCGGGAATCCCCAGTAAGTTACTCATCCCATTCCCCACTACATATAACAATCAAAATCAAGGCTGAATCTGCTCCTGCACACCTGTCTGGAAGTTTCCAGTATAGACCATTTCACAAGATGTAAACAACACTGGTCCAGAAGCACTTCCTGTTTCAGTTTTTTAACACTATATAAAAGCTGGGATAAAATACAACCAACAGAACATTTGAAACTGAATCAAAAAGTTAAACAAACATCTTTAAGATGTTTTCGTTACATGTGAAATAAAGAAAACAGTTACAAACTGAAACAGGAAGTGCTTCTGGACCAGTATTGTTTACATCTTGTGAAATGGTCTATACCTAGTACATTGATTAGCTGGTTCAGGTGTGTTTAGTTGGAGTTGGACCTGAACTCTGTAGGACAGTGGCCCTCCAGGAGCAGGATTAGGCAAAAGCAATGTCGTCTTGTTACTATAGGTAAACACATATAAAACACACTAGTTGGTATTAAAAGTAAAACCACTTATTGACAATAAGATCGTTGCACTAATCCATTTTGATTCCGCCAGGTTTACAGATAGTTCTGAAGTCCATTATGAAAGCCATGGTTCCCCTTCTGCAAATCGGCCTTCTGCTCTTCTTTGCCATCCTGATGTTCGCTATCATCGGTCTGGAGTTTTACAGTGGCAAATTACACCACACTTGCCTGCCGTATCCAGATATACTCGGTATGGAGAATCTTTTTGCTATTTAACTCAAGTGAAGTCGTAATATGGCAAACACAATACATCCGCCATACAGTATGTATTGATCTTGGGTGGTTTTTAAAGGTTTTTAAATGGTGCGATCAGGTCCTCCTGGGAAGTTTGTTTTTAGGAGTTTGTAATTGGTAATCACGATGTGAAGTCCCAGACAGCAAACTGACATTGAATCAACGTGGAAACGACGTCTCTCATGACATTGAAACAACGTTGATTTTGCTCATCGAATTAACGTTGAACCAACGTCAGACGCGGCATTCTTCAAAGCTAAATGAAAATCGAAAATTGGTTTGCTTTCATAATGTTGAAACAACGCGTTGATTTCAAGTTGATTTTCCGTTAGTTTTGAAAGAATGACGCGTCTGACGTTGGTTCAACGTTAATTCGATGAGCAAAACAATGTCCGATCAACGTTGTTTCAATGTCATATTTCCACGTTGATTCAATATCAGTTTGCTATCTGGGGTGTGTTCAAGTAACTTTGGTCGAAGCAAGATGGCTACGTACACTGTGGCTGCGTTCGAAATCGCGTACTATGAGTAGGTACTATATTTAAATAAGAACGTACTTTGCGACCATTAAAAAAGTATGTTCTATAGAGTATGAGGGTAGTATGAATGAGTTCGGACGTACTACATGCGCCATGTTGTTGTCGCATCACATACGCTGTCACAACAATGCAAAGATTTAAAGAGCCCATTCCAGTGACTGCACCAGCTTCACGCTGTTTTTAGTTCTGCTTTCTGTTTTCATCTGCGTTTTTACGTCGTCCAAGCCGACAATCAAGTGGAGGCATCGGTCAGCTGATTGCAGATCACGTCTTTTGTGGAATTTCTCAAATAACATTTATTTACCTAATAAATTTTACCTCATAAAACACACACACAAACCCTATGAACAATGACAGATGTTGATGTTGATGAGGAAAAGCCATTTATTTGCTTGTGATATTACCATCATTAAAGGATTAGTTCACTTTTGAAAAAACTTTTGCTGATAATTTACTCACCCTCATGTCCTCCAAGATGTCCATGTCTTTCTTTCTTCAGTCGAAAAGAAATTAAGGTTTTTGATAAAAACGTTCCAGGATTTTTCTCCATATAATGGACTTCAGTGGGAACCAGACGGTTCAAGGTCCAAATGAAACTTTCAGTACAAACTGCAAACTTGTTCAAAGGGCTTTAAACGATATCAGACGATAAATAAGGGTCTTATCAAGCGAACCGATCACTCGTTTTTTAAAAAAATAACAAAGTTTAAGTTTTATAAGATCAAACGCTCGCCTTGGTGTGTTCTGTGGTGCACGTTCGTGACTCTCCTGTTCGGACTCGTTCAACAAAATGAACAAATCTTTTTCCGAATCAATTCGTTCTTTCGCCGAATGAACCAAATGACTCGGGAAAAGATTTGTTCATTTTGATGAACGAGTTCGAACAGGAGTGCGTTACAGAACAGAGCAAGGCGAGCGTTTGAGCTTATAAAACTTAAACTTTGTTATTTATTTATAAAAAGAGTGATCGTTTCGCTTGATAAGACCCTTATTCATCGTCTGGAATCGTTTAAAGCCCTTTGAACAGTTTGCACTGAAACTGTCTTTTGGACCTTGAACCGTTTGGTTCCCACTGAAGTCCATTATATGGAGAAAAATCCTGGAATGTT